ATTGCTGAGAATTTGAGCAGCAGCTCTTGCCTTAACGCTGTCACCATTCTTCTCAAATATCATTGCACGAAATCATCGATTTCAGCCATGAAATAAGTGGCATACGCCTATTACCAACACGAGGACTTCCATCCTAACTTCTACAGTTGTACATCTCATTATGGCACTGGTCCCCTACGTGAAATGCAACCATCCAGCCAATTGGGCGCAGGCCACTGGTTACTGTCGATGCTTCGTGCTGTGGTCGATGCCCTGCATCAGTATAACCGAAAGGTGGTCATCTGAATCAGCTGTTTTATTTGACCCTCGTGCTGCATATTACTGGAAAGCTTTCGATGAAACGAATATTTGCACCTGTGAATTCTTTGTTTCGATCTTATTGTGATGATCCTGCGAGTTTATTTAGTCAGGATGTAGTCTTGCGGTGGCGAGTTTCAATCGATGTAATTGGCAGATAGTCGTCTTGTCAACAAGTTGACTTTTGCCTCATGTTGAGACTCAGTGGTAAGCTATCTGTTAGTATAATGCAGCCAGATGCCTGTGTCAACGTGTGAATTCCGAAGATTTCCAATTATTTTATGATTCCTCCGTGTTGGCTGCGTTTTGTCCAATACAACGAGTGAAACATCTTAAAGCGAGGTGTAAATGACACAGAGGAATTGTCGCTTAACTCCATATGCAAATTTACCATTGAGACAAGATTTACGCATTTAGCTCAAAAGATGTTTGACTGACATGCAGTGAGATGAAACCATTCTCAGAGGTAGAGATTAATTTTTGAAAATCCCATAGTAAAATTTGCGACCACGTCAACGAGGCCGGATTCAATGAACTCGCGCAATCGTCGCTGTGAAATCGTCAAGCGAAAAAGAGAACTTTTAAATGGACACATTTCGTATTGTGTTCATAGGCAGCTTTCGAACTATAACTCTACCCTCAACTGAATCGCTATTACATGAAGTTTATTGGGGAGCACCAACAGGGACAATCAGGTTAACTTAGTCAAATAATGCGAAACTTCTTATTCTTATGGAACCTCACAATAATGATTCCCTGTAGATGACGGAATCAAAAAATGCACCGACTCCATACCATCCGCAGCACGACAGTGGCATGAGTTTCAGAACTTACTGACCTCAGAATCAGTCTAAGCCAATGATTAATCACAATGAATGAGGATTACTGGTTCGTTGCATCTCGCTGAACTTACAAATCATTGATACTTTAATTTAGGCTGCAAAAAGTCAGAGGGTCATC